TCTGGGTCAGCGATCTGACTCAGTGCAAGGAAGTTTCATATCTTCCTTTGCACCCTGGCAGAGTGCAGCAGAGTTTTGCCAGATGGTTGAGTGCCTCCTTCATCTTGGTCTTCAGGGGAATGTGAGCAAACCCTCTGGAACGGACTGCGATTTGTCTGCAAAGCATTTAAAAAGATTGTTTGCATCTGCAGTGATCTTGACCATACTAGTTCTGCACTTCAGTTTAGGAATGTATTCATACTTCAACTTTCATTCACTTTTCTTTGTGCCAAAGCTCTGTCACCATTATTGTCAGTGATACTAGCTGCAAAAGTGGGGAGGGAAACATTTGGAGCCACCATGTTGAAGTATACCTGAAGGAGCATCTCTACCCCTATCATTCAGCCCGGACACTGAGGTCCAGTGCCGAGGGCCTTCTGGAGGTTCCCTCATTGCAAGAAGTGAGGTTACAGGGAACCGGGCAGAGGGCCTTCTCGGTAGTGACACCCGCCATGTGGAACACCCTCCTATCAGATGTCAAGGAAATAAACAACTATCTGACTTTTAGAAGACACCTAAAAGCAGCCCTGTTTAGGGAAGTTTTTAATGTTTGAAGTTTTTTTCTGTTGGGAGCTGCCCAGAGTCGCTGGGGAAACCCAGCCAGATGTGCGGGGTATAAATAATAAAATTATTATTATTATTATTACCAGCCTCATGCAATCAGACCATGTGGTAAATCCAGTAACATTGTTGAGCAATGTGGGAACCCATAAAACATGGCATGGAAAAAAGCAGCCTTGGTGTAATTTCTGAACACAGCTTCTGTGCTTCCCCTGTATGAAATGCATCCTGCAACTACAGCACACAGAAACTAGACAAACTTTTGTTAAGTGTTTGCATCGTCTCTCCCTACCGCCACCGCCATCTACTTTTGTTCAAAAAAGCTTTTTGCTGCAAAAAGCAGGAAAAGAAATTATTGGTGAGGAATAAAATGCAGTGATAGAACATTTAATTAAGATAGTGCCTTTTTTTCTGCCTCAGCAAAGTTATAAAGAAGCTATTGAATAATTCAACATGCAGGGATCCTATTGCGCCTACCCAAGTCACTGGAATGTGTCCAACAAACTGAAGTCAATGGCTCAGAGACCAGACCGACAGAAGAACTGGAGCGTCCTTAAAGATGGGTAATGTTGAGAAGCAGAGGGAAACATCATAACACTAGGCTTAAGTGTTACCTCCGTTTACATTTACCAGCAGAATTTTAAAGTTTACAGAAACCTCAACGATTTCCAGATAAAGTCAATGAATGAACTCCACAATGGGATCATAGAGCAGGGATTCTAGGTCAGCCTTTTCAAGAGCAGACACACCTGCACTGGGAACATTCCTTGAGTGTACTCTAACTGAACTGGAGATGCCAGGGCTTGAATCTGGGACCCTCCACACACTAAGCATGTGGTCCACCACTGAATTATGCCCCATATGGACCCTCCAAATAACTTTAAGCCATAAAAGGAAGATGTCTGCTGGAATCTACTCAGGGTTTCTAATGTTTGAACCACAAGCTTTTTCCACCTGGTCTGGGAGGGGAGGGCCCTGACTGACTCCAGCTACAAAAGCTGAAGCTGCAGAGGAGACTCTTGAGCTGAAGAGTTTGGGTTGTTGTTGTTGTTGTTGTTGTTAAGGTGTTATTGCTATTATTGGGATTGATTTTTGCATCTTTATTTTAGCTCTTATAATGATTGGTGTGGAAGTTGTCCAAACTGGCTGTGTATTTTTGTAGGCAAAGGCTTCAAATTTTCATTTGCGAATCAAAAGAGACAGGAACATGCATTGTGAGCAGGCTGTTATTCATATGGCAAGTATCAGGAGCTTCATGCTTGCACAAGGAATCCCAACCAGAGTGTTAAGTGTAGGGGTAATGTCTGAGATTGATTTTAATGAAGAGTGATTTGTAAGTTACCCGAATAAATAAACCACTGGAACTTAACACAGATATTTCTGATTCAGTCACCCTATTTGTACTGTACAGGAAACTCAGGGTTTAAGGTTCTGAACGAAGCTGCTAGTTATGTTATATGCTGCTGTGCTGTTTTTCCATAGTTTTAAATGAGATTTAATTTTTGATTAAATCAATTGTTGAGTTGTTATTTGGTTTAAAAATTCATGTTTGATTTTATATATATATAGGAAGACAGACAGAAAAACTCTTTTATAAACACTGAGGTGAGTCTCCAACCAGACTGAAAAATGTTCTCCTGTGGACCTATATCCTCTTAATCTTCATTTCCAGGGGCTCAGGCTAATGGTTACAGGGAAAGGAAATGCAGGCCATTTCAAGGAGTAAAAAGGAATCATGACATCCCAAAGGGCAAAACAAAAAACCTTACATTGAAAACACAAGGGAGATGATCTTTTAAGGTCGAAGAGTAAAAGCTCTGAAGATTTACAAGTAATGCTGCAGATAGACTGGAAGGTTAGATGGTAAAATAGAAAACAGGATGGGGGGAGTGGCATTTTAACTCTGAAAATTGTTCAACGGTGGGGCAGATATCAACAGAAACATTTGTACTGGTATTGATCTTTCGAGCGAGTAATTCCACACATTTTTCCCCACCTGCAAATATGACAAAGCATGTTTTCTATGCCGTGTCCAATGAAAATGTCAAGCGTAACTGGGTTATAGGTACCACCTCCTCTATGTGGGCCGTTCCCAAATACATTTCCATCCAACTTTACAAGGTAACCATCTTGTAATCTTCATTTCTTTTGTTAACTGATGAAAATGTTCCATGTGACTCAAGTCAAGGCATTTGCCTTTAGTTGCCAAAAGAATTTCTTCAAAAGCAAAGCAAGCAGATTGGGTTAGGGCATTTCTCAGACAAGCCAGGGAGTTGCATCTAAGGCTTGGGCAAGCAGAAGGCAGCTTTGGAAAACCACTGTCTTTCTCTCCCTCCTCTCCCTGCAGTCACCAGAAAACTTCTCCAGAGGATCAGGGGCCCACTTCTGATTGGTATGCACCATGTTGAACTGAGCTGCAATTTAGAGCATTACCCCAAATCAGACAGAGGGACCCTCCATGGAACGGAGCTTGGCTGGTGCGCCCATTTGCCCCCATGCACTACTGTCCTGTGTAACAGAAATCATGCTGGTTGGAAGAGCCTCCTAACCCTCTGGAGAAGCCATATTGAAGGTTAAAGGTAAAGGTAAAGGACCCCTGACCATTAGGTCCAGTCGTGACCGACTCTGGGGTTGCGGCGCTCATCTCGCTTTATTGGCTGAGGGAGCCGGCGTACAGCTTCTGGGTCATGTGGCCAGCATGACTAAGCTGCTTCTGGCGAACCAGAGCAGTGATGGAAACGCCGTTTACCTTCCCACCACAGCGGTACCTATTTATCTACTTGCACTTTGTCGTGCTTTTGAACTGCTAGGTTGGCAGGAGCAGGGACCAAGCAACGGGAGCTCACCTCGTCGCGGGGATTCGAACCGCTGACCTTCTGATAGGCAAGTCCTAGGGTCTGTGGTTTAACCCACAGCACCACCCGTGTCCCCTATTGAAGGTTACAGGTGACTAAAACAAAAAGAGAAGAGAAAGGCTGGTTGTGCAAGTGGCTTTTGCTTGTACCGCCACTAAATTCAGCCCATAGTGTCAATATGAGCAGCAATCTCCCCACATTTTCACAATACACAGCCAAAACTTTAGGCGAGGCAGTGGTGGACTTTCAAATTTCAGTGTCGCCCTGTGCAGCAACAAAATTTAGTGTACATCATTGTTGTGGCCCCCCTCTCAGCCCAGCACCCAGTACTGGCAAACTGGTAGGGCTCTCCTAAATCCGCCACTGGACCAGGTTTCACTTCAGAGACAATTCACTGGAACTAGCTATCAGGTTGTGGCATTTTTTACCCAGAATAGCTGCTCCCTGGGAAACAGTTAAAGAGGAATAAGCTGGGTGTGCTATGTAGCTTTAAGTACCCTTTTAGTAATATATGACAGACTGATATACCTAGCCAGTGTGACTTTTTTTTTATTGTGCAAATACTGCAAGGTGTTGGCCCGACTGTATGCATCAGCGTGCATCTCTAACCCACTCAAGATACAAATAGTGAAGATTATAAGCACGTCTTGCAGTGACAACCATGTACCATAAATATCCCTTTTATTAGCTAAAAAGATTAGGGGTTGTATCTGACTAAGTCAAACTCAGAGCAGATAAATAGACATGAGTAACTTAAGTGCACTGATTTCAATGGATCTATTTTGAGTATTTCTGACACATACTATACTATGCTTGAGCTTAGACACAAATCTAAGATAGGACAGGGCACCCAATAAGGAACTTACAGGAGTCATCTACAAGTAACCACAATAAATAGCCATTAAATGTTGAAAGAGCCACCATCAACTAGGAGGGAAGCATTTTGAGGTTTTTAACCTCTATTTGCCTGACAGGCCTCTGATGTAGGAACGGCAATAAGATTCCATTTGTGGAATAAGTATTTCAGCTGAAAAGGCTCTTCCCTGTCAGAAACAGGTCAAAAGAGTGAAGGAAAGATCTTTATATCTAATCATATAAAGTGCTATTTTTTCTAGAAAAAGAGGTGCCAGAACTCACTATGAATGCCTCCTTTGTTCTCTTATACAGTGGTACCTTGGTTGTCAAACATAATCCGTTCTGGAAGACGGTTCGACTTCTGAAACGAGGCACAAAGAGTGGTTGGCAAAGTCAATGGAGAAAAAAGAAGAAAACTCCTTGGAAGCCATTCAACACCCAAAAAGCGTTAAAAAACAGAAGCAATTACTCCTGGGCTTTCGGTGTTTGAAAACCAAAATATTCGGCTTCCAAGATGCTTGAAAACCAAGGTTCCACTGTAAAGGCAATGGTGCCCACCTGAGAGGTGTCGGAACTGAGTGCAGGTGACTTCTGTCTGTAGAAAAGCCCTGATCATAGAACTGTAGAGTCGGAAGGGTCACTGAGGGTCTTTTAGTCCAACCCTTTGCAATGCAGAATCCTGCCCACACCCGTCCCTGGGTGGGCTCGAATCACCGACCATCTGATTAACAGCCAAATGCACTGACCCATGGTGCCACTGGTTATAACAGCTACCCTTTGTGCACAAGTTAACAAAAAATACAGAATACGTATTTTTACTTACCTTTATGCAATTTAATAAAGATCTGCAGGGGAAGTTCTGCTGGTGGTTTCCACGCCTAATGCAATTCTAAGTCAGGGGCCCATGGGTGGACTCTCTCTACAATGGCCTCTCACCTTTGTGAGGACCTCCCCTCTGAGCTGGTGTCTCACCAGAATCCTTGGTGTTCTTTTGTTGGCAAATGAAGAGGATTAGAGGGATGAGGTTTATTGGGCATTTGAATTTCTGTCACTACTGCTGGTTTTAGTTATATCTCAGGGTTTTTTCAACTAACTCATCCCATCAGTGCAAGGATTATCATTAGTACAATAGGATTTTCCCTCCTCCACTCCCAAATCTGCTTTGGAAGACTGGAGGAAGCCCTAGAATATATTTAGGAGGCACAGGGAGAAGGAGAGGGGGGAAATGCCATCACACTAGCTGTGTTCTATGCTGTTTTAATCTTATTGCTTAATTTTTTTGGTTTGGATTGTGAATAGTTGTATCCTGGGTGAAGAGTGGATTGTTCTTGTTGATGATGTTATTTTACAAACGATTGTGAGAGTCTATAGTTTGCAGTGTTTAGCAAAATGAGAACATATACGCAATGAAATTAAAATGGTCAGAAACCTGGAGCAAAGTAGGGGGTCAAGGTCCTTTTAATTGCACACTACAGTGGTACCTCTGGTTAAGAACTTAATTCGTTCCGGAGGTCCGTTCTTAACCTGAAACTGTTCTTAACCTGAAGCACCACTTTAGCTAATGGGGCCTCCTGCTGCTGCCGTGCCGCCAGAGCACGATTTCTGTTCTCATCCTGAAGCAAAGTTCTTAACCTGAAGCACTATTTGTGGGTTAGCGGAGTCTGTAACCTGAAGCGTCTGTAACCCGAGGTACCACTGTACTTGTTTCACTACATTCTAGAAAGTGATGAAATGGCAGCTCTGGAGACCTTTGACTGCAGATCAAACAACAGACTTGCCTTTTGTCAAATGACTTGTTTTAAAAAGTACAGTGGTACCTCGGGTTACATATGCTTCAGGTTACATACGCTTCAGGTTACAGACTCTGCTAACCCAGAAATAGTGCTTCAGGTTAAGAACTTTGCTTCAGGATGAGAACAGAAATCGTGCTCCGGCGGTGCAGCAGCAGTGGGAGGCCCCATTAGCTAAAGTGGTGCTTCAGGTTAAGAACAGTTTCAGGTTAAGAATGGACCTCCGGAACAAATTAAGTACTTAACCCAAGGTACCACTGTAACTTATTAGCATTCTCTCTGGGATCCACCTTTGGTCACCAAAGTCATATCTATGTTTTATTTAAACTTGAAGCATGTACATTACCATAAACAAATTACCTACTAAATAAGAAAATCTCTTCTACAACATTTTCTGTTATTGATTTAAAGCTAACCACATAATATAGTAGATGAGTGAGCTTGAAGTTAAGTTGACAAGACAGTAATGTGATGATGGAAACAAATGTCCGCACACATTTGAGAGACTTTCTGTCTCCATCCCTTGCTGAAGTGGTGCTTTTAGTAAGAAGCAAGATGAACGACTGCCGTCGAGGAGGATTTACTACTTAAGATCTGACCATCTGGATGGAATGCAGACTACTCACATCCAGGATTTGCTCCAGTGTAAGAACACCTTAGACTGTTTGTAAAATAATACCTATTAATTATATTGCTGTCAGATCCAGCTCCTGAGCTATTGAGAGAAAGGCATCAAAACAAAGAGAAAGACTTTGAGTGCTGAGAAAGTAAGAGAAGCCTGCTGGGCTGGGCCAACAGAGCATTTAGTCCAGTATCCTTTCAGTAACCAGCCAGGTGCCTGTGGGAAACCTGCAAGCAGGACCTGAGGGCAACAGCATTCTGCCCACCTGTGATTCCCAGTAACTGCCCCAGTGACTAGTAGCCCCTGGTAGCCTTGTCTTCCATGAATTTGTCTTTGCATCATATAATTTTAGAGCTGAAAAGGACCACGAGTGTCCAACCCCCTGCAATGCAGGAATCTCTTTGCCCAACGTGGGGCTCGAACCCACAACCCTGAGATTAAGAGTCATGCTGATTGAACTATCCTATCTATTCCTCTTTTAAAGCCACCCACCACTGCCTCCTATAGGAGTGAGCTCCATAATTCAACTATGTCCACAAGTTCCAGTGTTATGTGAGGGGAGGGACTTTCTGTTAGAATTCCTGCTCCATGACTGCAGTCATGGGATTGTTGTCTTTCACATGATGGTATATGTTTTGAAGCCACAAAGTGGGAAGTGACAAAGACAGGATGTTTGTGTTACTGTGTTCCATGAAGTGGGACTATTGTCCTTTGTCCTTTTTCTCTTTGCTGTCTGATGCTAGAGAGAGAGGGAGCCATGTTGCAGTGCTCTCTGTGTGTTTGTATGTAAATAAAGTAGATTAGCCAAAATGCTGAGTTGCTGAGGTCTTTCATGCAAGATGCACAAACTCTGTGGATCCCTAAGTGTGCCAGTGTCGGTTGGCATCAGTCACTGTGATGTTTGGGCAGAAGAAAGCTTTTGAAGCTCCCGAACGAATGACCAGGAGGGAGGGAGGGAACATGCCAGTTGGGCATGTGTCTTTGCCAGGATCCTACTCAAGTGTAGGCTGACACTTTCACCCATCCACTTCCTCCATGCTGTGCATAGTTATGAACTTCTAACATGTCACCTCTTCCTAACCTTTTCTATAAACTAAGATGTGTCATTTGCGACAACTTTTCTTGACTGGGGTGGTGTGTGGGTGTGCACGCGCGCTCTAGCCCCTTTATTATTTTGGTTGCACTTTTCTGAATTTTTTCCAATGCTACAATATCCTTTTTGAGGTGAGGCGACCTGAATTACACACTAAAATAATGTGATAGAAGATGCAGATAAATATATACGATTGTCTAATCAATTTCACTATGTAAACTCGTTTGGCTTTAAATTAAGCATAGCAGAACCTTTTCCTTGAATGTATCTTTATTGGCATCTGGATGGATTTGTGAATTTGGGATATGTCTCTGCTCATTTCTCATGTGAATGACACCTTTGCCTTTTCCATACAAAAAAAGAAAGCTGTAACTTCCAGTTGTGCATGGCTGGTGCTGCTGCACACTGCAAAGGGGACACAAAAGTCCTGTGACCCTGAGAGTTTCCCCACACTCCAGTTTACTCTGACCTCAATAGCAGCATTTTGATGCATTAGATAAGACTGCACACCTACCTAGGAATAAACCTTGTTGAACACAGTGGCTTACATTTAACCAAGAACTGAGAACTTTCAGAAAATACCATTCTGTTCTGGAAGCCAACAGGGCAAGGTGTCAAGGCAGGTTAGGAGTTTCAGGACCATGGAGAGCTCCAAGTGAGCAACTTGCTCCAACAAAGGCTAGAAATTTACTGTGACCTTTGGGGTCTCTGTCTCCTGTCCACCTCTCCTAGGCTCCAACCCCTTTGTGAGAACTGAGGTCCTTAAAAGGCCAACCCCCTTGCCTGCTGATGAGCACTCCTCTTGAAGAGAAGCTGCCTGCAAGGGTTCAGACTTCATGGGTTTGGTGCTGTGGAATCTTATCCCAGGAGCTCCTGCCCACCAGCCTTGGATTTAGTGGCCCCCTGATCACTAGCATCAGGCTCAGAGTTGGATACTTGGTCAGACTCCTTAGTCAATGCTTATGCAGCCTTTGACTTTGTGTCCTGATCGCTGCTGAACTCTGGGGTCATCACAACTTTGCCTTATTTTTCTTACGCTAATGATGAACAAGTGCAACTGAGGAATGAACCTTATCCTATGTATCTTTAACAATTTGCCATATTAATTCCTTCTGGAATTACCTTCATGAATATGCCCTTAAGGCTCTGCACAAAAAACTGATTGTGTAAAAAAGAAGAAGATAGCCTTGGCTCAATATTGGATATGTAAGTGTAATTGGACAGGAGCTTAGTTGTGGCTTTTGTTCTGCTGAATAGGTGAAAGCTCAGCCTATGCAAGTGCAAACTCTGCTCTTTTCAAAACCTCATTGCATTCTCTCACCCCACACTCTGTCTCCTAGATCTGCAGTGTTTTTGCCAGAGAAATGACAGCTATTACTGTTTCTCAAATGCAAATCTAAAAGGGGGGAGACCCTTAGATTTAGATGCTGATTTTAAGGACCTCCAAACTGTCCAGCAAGCACTAGTGCATGTGAGTAACCCAGAACCTGCCAGATGCATGCACCACTCAAAGGCCTGCAGTGAGGCCCACAAGAGTGCCCAAGCCACCCCACCCCACTCTCCAGTTCCACTCTGCCAAATTTTGCTTCCTTCTCCTCCAGGCTCCACTCCCCCATCCTGCCCATGAAAATAATGCTTCCACCAGTAAGGCAAACAGTTGTTTTACATCAAGGTGGAGAACACTTTTCAGCATGAGGGACATTGTCCCTTCTGGAGGAAACAAGTCAGTGGGCAGAAATGAACAGAGTAATCAATAAAATAAAAAAATGCTTCTGTGCTATAGACTACTCTCTTCACACTCATGCACCCCTCTCTATCTTCCACCCAGGCTACGATTGCCAGGATTCAAGGGCAAAAATTCCCAAAGAGGGTACAAAGTCAGGCTGTGAGGGATGTGTTTTGTGAAGATTGTGGGCTGGGGAAGATGGGTGGGATTCGATTTTCTAGGTGGTTAGTAGTTTTATTGACGTGTTGCGTGTTTTGAATGGCTCTTACAGAAGCATTACTGTTTTAACTGTTGGTGCACTGTTGGTCAGTAATTTCTTATTGTATTTTTTGTAAATAATAATAATAATAATAATAATAATTGTAAGCTATGCTGCCCTTGAAGGATTTCATTGAAAGGTGTGGTTAAAATTAATTTAAATGACTGTTGCACGGCTGCTACAATCTGCTTTTAGAGCAGGTTGTGATCTCGCTGCCACTCCCTTTTGCTACCTTGGCATCTTGAGACATTTGGATCGTAGAGCAAAAAGTA